CCTTCCAGGAAAGTCCTGTTATGTAGAAACAGCTATGTTAAGGTGGCCATACACTTTACAACCATCGCAAGACCTTAGTCTTGCGATGGTTGTAAAGTAATTTAAAAAACGTACGATCTGCCCATCTTGGACAGGCAGATCGTACTTGGGATCATCGCAAGCCCGCATCCCTGAGGGGCGGGCTTGCGATGACCGCAATGCTGAACGGGCAGTGTGCGCACACCGGCCCGTGTGGCATTGATCTTACAATCATGCTAAAAACCAGCTGCAAATCGTACGATTCTCGGCTGGTTTTCTAGCATGCTCCTTAGACAAAAGACGTGCGACCGTACAGTAGAAACGGTCGCACACCTTCATTCACACTGCACGATTCTCGTACGATCGCGGGATTTCCCGTGATTCTCGTACGAGAATCGTGCAGTGTATGTGCACCTTAAAGGGTCACCTTAAATCGTGCAGTGTGAATGAAGACGTGGGACCGTTTCTACTGTACGGTCGCACATCTTTTGTCTAAGGAGCATGCTAGAAAACCAGCCGAGAATCGTACGATTTTCGGCTGGTTTTTAGCATGCTCGGGAGAAAAAAGCCGAACGGGACGGTGTGCGCACGCGCATACTGCCCGTTCAGCATTGCAGTCATCGCAAGCCCGCCCCTCAGGGGGGCGGGCTTGTGATGATCGCAAGTACGGTCTGCCTGTCCAAGATGGGCAGATTGTACGTTTTTTAAATTACTTTACAACCATCACAAGACCAAGGTCTTGCGAAGGTTGTAAAGTGTATGGCCACCTTTAGACAAAAATTTCCCCCAGGGAGTGAACTCATCAGATGGGATGTCCAACAGCAGTGCAGGAAACACAGCAAACTGCTAACAGTCCTGAGAGAAAAATCTGACCCCAACAGGCAACCATAACCGAAGGGGCCCACATATCAGAGGGCTGCCTGAAGGACCTTGAGACTGAAGCTGGCATTTGCCGAGGCCTGAACATGCTAAAAGCCTGCACAAGTGTGAACAGAGGACCAGGTGGTGGCCTTGTAGATTTGGGAGACTGAAGGCTGATGCCCAAGAAGTACTAATGATCCTGGTAGAGTGAGCCCTAATTGGAAAGGGGTGAACATTACCTTTCAACTCATTGGCCTGGGTGATCGTCAAATCCACCTGGTGATAGTGGAATGAGAAGTTGGTTGCCCCATACAAAGACTATCAAGAAGACGGAGTCAGATTCATTAATTGGAAACTCAACCAGCCTGAACTACATCCAGACTGTAGGCAAACCTTATTAGGATGGATTCTATAGGTAAGGCAAACATTTTATTTTCTTGATTATACATCACAGGACACAGTTTATTGGTAGACCACTGTGTTATGCAGCTACTTTCAAGTGATTAGACACTGGCAAATTCAATCAAAGCTGCAGGACAGCCCTACATAACCCCTCTCCATCCCAGCCAGCCTCAGTTTTGTAGAGAGCGGATCACAAAATACATAGTGGAGGGTCCTGTGATGTACTGCACGAAACAGATTCTACAGGTAAGACAAAAATCCTCTCTCCCAGTAGCCGCTATCTATGCAGTTTTCTTTACCTCAGTGATTTCAGCGCATTCTGACCCCAACAAACTAGTGTAGCCACACAAGCGTGTGTCGATTAAAATTGTTTGCGTTTAATCGCCCTGAATTCCAAATACCTATGTGTGAATGGAGACTTAGTGTTTTGTTTTTTAACCAAATGCTTTTCAAAACATTTTACAAATGCAGAGTACCAACACTATATGCCAATCACACCCTCCCACAGCCTCCCTTCCTACTGCCCCCTACCTGCAGTCCTTCTCTCCAAAAGGCAACCAATCCAGCAATCGGTACAGAGTTGACCTGTCTTGATTTTTTTCCATACATGGCCATAAAACTTCATCCTCTTACATGGAATATTACATGATTGGTATCCACCTTTTTCCTATGTTATACCAGTTTGTTAGCGTGTAAATCCCAATTGCTTAAGCATACAATAAGGGACACAGGAGTATTCGGTCACATTAAGGTTATGCAGCTGCCTTCAGGAGATTGGACACATGATGGCAAATGACTGTGAGACAGCCCAGTTTAACCCCTCCCACTCCCAGCATGCTTTAGTTGTTTGCTAATGTCTCAGAGAATGGATGATTTCTCTCTGCACTGAGAGTATAAAACAACTTCTTACTTTTTTTTCTACATTTTTTTTATCAAGATATTTTTCTTCCAGCAAGATTCTTCAGTTGCTGTACAGACACTGGAGCTCATTTGGCAGCTTTCCAAATGGGCTGATCCTCAACATAGTCTTGGAGGCTGTACCCAGACTATGCTGGTAGGAAGACAAAGGCCTGGCCTGTAATGTGCCTTCTGGGATAGGTGCTCTCCTATACACTACAAAACACAAAAAGAATCCCTCAGCACAACTGCCAGCTAGTCTGCAACAAAACAAATTGGCCTTTCTAACAGTATGCGTTAAAAGCAGAGGTTTTAGTTGCACAAACCTTTGGCCAAAAATATGTAGAAGCTACACTGCCCCATCAAGGCACCTCTGTGTAGTGTGGTCCTAACTCTATTTATGAGTCATGTTGGAGCATGGGTAAACAGTGCCGAGTGGTTTAGGCATAAAACATTCCACAACATTAGTGACATGGAGCAAACCCCAATCAGTAACAGGATTATGGGAAATTAGATTTTATCATTTTTTATCCTATTTATTTTTTATAATTATTTTCTTATTTTTTAATGTTTCTTATTATTTTTTACTTTTAATCACCTTTTTATTTTTTTATTTAATATTTTTTTTATTATTTATTACATTTTTAAAATCTTTTTTCACCTTACTTTATTGCTATCACACAGGAGAATCACATGTAAATGAACAATCGGCTTTCCTCACTCAACATTTAGTCCAAAGCAAGACTAAATGTAGAGAGAGCAACTTGGCGCCCGGAACTTCCCCACAAGGACACCGCTGCCGCCCCTCTGCGCCCTGCCGCCTCGAGGCCGGGTCTCGGTGGCCTTGTGGGAAATCAGGAAAGAAAGAAAGAGAGGGAAAAGGGGGGGAGAGAACTGAGGATACATTTTTTAAATAAATGCATTCAGAAAATATACACTGGGGAGATTGTATCAAAACTGGAGCAGACAAAATCTGGAGCAGTTGTCCATGGCAACCAATCAGCATCTCTCTTCAGTGTGCTCAGGTAAGATTTGAAAATGTGACAGAGAAGCTGATTGGTTGCAGTGCAAATCTGCTCCAGATTTTGTCTGCTCCGGTTTATTAAATTCCCCCCACTGTCATTATCAAATATCTTTTATGTGACTGAACACGATTTGTGGCTGCACATGTACACTATATTACCAAAAGTATTGGGACACCCCTCCAAATCATTGGATTCAGGTGTTCTGTGAAATCTCCTTGCTACTAAATATTCCACGGTCAAATGTTAGTGGTATTATAACAAGGTGGAAGCAACTGGGAACATCAGCAACTCAGCCACGAAGTGTTAGGCCACGTAAAATGACAGAGCGGGGTCAGCGCATGCTGAAGTGCACAGTGCGCAGAGGTAGCTAACTGTCTGCAGAGTCAATAGCTAAAGACCTCCAAACTTCCTGTAGACTGCAGATTGGCACAACAGTGCGTTGAGAGCTTCATGGAATGGGTTTCCATGGCCGAGCAGCTGCATCCAAGCCTTACCTCACCAAGTGCAATGCAAAGCGTCGGATGCAGTGGTGTAAAGCACACCGCCACTGGACTCTAGAGAAGTGGAGATATGTTCTCTGTAGTGACGAATCACGCTTCTCTGTCTGGCAATCTGATGGACATGTCTGGGTTTGGCGGTTGCCAGGAGAATGGTACTTGCCTGACCGCATTGTGCCAAGTGTAAAGTTTGGTGGAGGGGGGATTATGGTGTGGGGTTGGGGTTGGGCTTGGCCCCTTAGTTCCAGTGAAGGGAACTCTTAAGCCATCAGTATACCAAGACATTTTGGACAGTTTCATGCTCCCAACTTTGTGGGAACAGTTTGGGGATGGCCCCTTCCTGTTCCAACATGACTGTGCACCAGTCCACAAAGCAAGGTCTATAAAGACATGGATGAGTGAGTTTGGGGCGGGGCTGACTAGCAAGATACTGAAGCTATAGAAGTATGGCCAGCTTAACCATCACCTTCATTTCCAAACCACATTGGTGATCCAGGCAATTAGAGAGACTGAATCTAACTAATTGGGACACCGCTGGTGTGAAATGGCCAACTCATTGAAATCTCTACGTTACTTCCGGTGGTCAGAAACACTGGAGGAGCCCTGTACCACCGTGGGTGCGCATGCAAGCATAACATTTTCACAATACTCCTCAAGTTCTCCAACAGCTATCAGTGCACATGCGCGCACAACATCTCAGCTATCAGAAGACTGGTGGAGTTTGCCAACTGCTGAGTATTCTGAAAATGTGCCTGTATAGAGCACTTCCAGTCTTTCTGTTCGGCAGTGTAACACAGTCTCGTTGAAATCTCCTGCTGGCGAGTGACCAGAAGTGATATAGTTGGAGATTTCCACAAGTTGGCCATTTCAATAGAAGACAGGCAATAAAAATCTGCCATGGGTTCTATCCCCCTCACCCCTTTATCCACGTAAACAAAAAGGTTTGCCTTGACTTCTACTTTAAGTACATAGCATACTTAAAGTTAAATAAAAGTGGATAGACTTTTATGAATTTATGTTCTTAAACATTGTAATTTGTGTTCATTTTAAGTCTTGCACTGAGAACGATAAGAACATCTGAGACAGTAAATTATTTACAAACGTGAGAAGTAAATCCTGTTTGGTGAAGATCACAGGAATACAATGGAGCCATTCATGAACTGACCGAATCCCAGGACCTGGGGGTTGCTAAGCAACATGACGCTGTTTCCAGGCAGCAATGTTTCCTGTGATACACGTGCTTCACCCTGCGGACTGAGCTGTTCACATACAGGGATATTGACTCTGCAGAAAGAACACCATGCCAGGCACCACCGTCTATGAAGCTCTGACAAGACAGCTGAGAGCCCTGGGTTTACACTCCTTCCCCTGTGCTCCTGGGAGCTGGGTAAAGCATATCACTTCTCTTCTCAGCTCTAAATTCTCATATAGAGATTGACGTTAATTTCTAATATTAATAAATATCTCTTTCTAATAGTCACATACAGATAGAGAAAATTGTCTTTTACATTCTGTCCCTCTGCTAAACTGTTTATTTCAAAGTGCATCTAAGCCCCCTGTTCACATCTATGCGATGAGGGACCATGTGATCTCATGTGACGCTGGCATGATGCTGCGGTGCCATTATTTCTAAGCTTTGGTTCACACCTGTGTGATGCAGCTCCACACATGCATAGCATCGCATTTTTGCATGTGTTACGTTGGGAAGCCCATTTATTTAGTTGTGCTGCCTACTGTGCTTAAATTGCACCAAAGAAGTGCATGACCCTTTTTTTGTAATCATTCAAACGAATGTCCTACCTACCATTATGCACAGTAACGTGTAAAAAAAAAAAGTGCTCCAATTCACATGCGATGTTGCATCACACAGGTGTGAACACAAGCTAGGGGTCCAGTCACACTAAATTGCACAGTGGGCCCTCCAGCTGTGCTTTAAATACAAACCCCAACATACCTCTACCCCTGAGAGTCATGCCTGTAACTCTCAGTCTTGCAATGCCTCATGGGACTTGTGGTCCCACAACAGCCGGAGGGCCGGAGTTGCCCACCTCTGCACTATGGTAACACATGTACCACAACAAGCTTTACCGTGCATTGCAGAGCGCTGCATTAGAACACCGTGTTCATTTTGATGCGCCCCAACACAGGGAAAATCACTCCTGTTATATTTTATTTTTTTTATACCACGGTATATCCTAACACACCATGTAGCAATACAAAATAGCAATGGATATACAGACCGTGGGCATACGTTATAGATACAGGATATTACTCTTTTTTTTTTTTTTCTTGAACTTTTGTTATTAAATCCAGTGGGGTGGAGGTTTGGGAATAGTCAACAAATTTTTAATCTTTTTTTTTCTGGATAACAGTGTTGCTTTTTTTTCAGTTATTCTTTGGTGGCTTGGTAGGCATTTAAAAAAATCCTTTTAACAATTCACCAGGTCTGGAGGTATATATGTTACTTGTTACAATGAGGGCAGGCAAACACATAAAGGTCCCTTCCCAATATTCCCACACCTTATCCAGGGCATAAATGGAGTGGAAGGGTCTGGTGCTATTTATCTTCCAGGTTGGTGTTTTGAGAGAGGCACCTTACAGTTTTATCCTGCCTCATGTGTGGATGGACAGGCTCTTACTCAAATATTTGGTGCTTATACCCAGTGATCCAAAAGATCCAATACATAATGGAATCCTTAAGCGAGCCTTTTATCAACCAGGGTGTCCCTGGTCTTCTCAGGGGTGCCTCAAATTTTTGGAGTAGTGGCACTGTCATGTGAGGGGGGCAATGAAGATTGATGTTAAGGGGGCTCCTGGTGTAAAAGGGGAACTCTAATGTGAAGGGGGGGTGGTCTTGATTTGAAGGGGGCACTTTGATGTGAAGGGGAAAACCCACATTTTTGTGTATTTTTGCATGGGATCCCCCCTTAAAATCTATGACATTCTATGACATGCATACTTTTAAGCGGTGCCGTAGACCATAGATTGTTATATATTTAACTTACCCTATTTTTTTTAATGCCACATATAGTTTTATTCCTAAATACTTGAGCAGCAGCAGCAACCTAAGGGGAATAGGTGATAAGGGTAGACCAGTATTGCAATATAGAAGAACTGTCACATGATGATCAAAACACCCTCTCTAAATACCATGGGATTTGGGTGTGTTGGTTGGTGTACAAAACCACTTTTTTATGGATGGAGTTACTCTAAACTGTAATTAATTTATGTGAACTAAAATATACAACGTGCATCTTTCCTGAAGCTAATATTTGGTTTAATTTCCTCCAGAACAAGTCCAGTCTTCTGAATAGAAAATCTCCCTGTTCAGACTGGGAAAGCAGTGATCCAGAAGAGGAGAGTCAGGACAATCTGAAAGACCTTCTGATTCAGCATGGTTCACCTTGGGAGCTGGATGACGGATGCAGTCCAGAGGCTGAGCGCATTAGGGAGCTGGCAGTCACATGTCCTGACGTTATTACTGAACAGTTCATCCATTCATACTTCAGATGTATAAGAGTGGTAGACCAGGAGGTGGGTAGATGTGAGCCAGGAGTGTGCATTTTAGAAATGTTGCTGTTTAAAGAAAAACATTGGAATAAATAATAAATAATCTGTGTATAGACTGTAATGAAAGATTGTTTGAAATCTCTAAATATAATTTAGTGTCAATGTTTTGGTTTCCTGTCTTTGAAAGAGCTGATAGATATTGCAGCGATCTCATGCTAATGTCTAAATGCCATAAAGAGTTTGATCTGCCAGAGCAGTAAACAGGTCATCAGTCTTGCTTTGGATATAAATGAGTAGAAGGGGATTTCTATTTTTACGGAAAGTGGAAGAAATCTTCACAGGCCACTCTCCTTCCCCAAGTTACTGATGGGCATGGGTCTTGTAATTTAGAAGTTCCGCCAATCAATTGCTTTAATAGCATTGCCAAGACATTGCAAGGCTACAACCCTTAGAGAGCACCACTTTCTCCTGTAGGGCACAGCCTGGTTATAGAAGTCCTATGTGTTTTGATGAACTTGAAAGTCCACTACACTAAAAAGGAATAGCTCAGCAGCACTGCAGCGAAGTAAACAGTGTAGCTGTTCCTGGTGGTAGCCTTGGGGCTGCTTGCCGGTGCTCCTAAAACAGCTGATCACTGGGAATTCTGAACAGGGATGCCCACACATAACAGTGGCAAGTCATGTTTTTTTCAATGGAAACCTGTACTGAGAGAAACGTGGGGGCTGTTTTTATCAAACTCCTTCTGAAAATGCTAGTTGTCTGCTTGTCTTTGATGTTAATACTTTAAGTCACCAACATAGAAAAATCAAGTAGGAAAATCAAAACTGCTGATCTAATCCCTGTCAGGAACATAAAGAAGAACTCCAGGATTTTCAACAGTTAACCTATGCAGTGGGGCTACCCCCGAACTGCAAGGGTTAACCTCTCTCCCCCTCTATTCGGCTGTGATATATCCTCCAGCTTCTTCACGTGTAATAGACCTGTTAGACGTGATGACTTAATGGGTCCTTAGACCGTTGGAGCCCCGGGGACCAGGACCAGTCTAGAAGCCAGGCGGCATGTACACTGAGTGGCCAGATTATTATGACCACCTGACGTTTGAAGGCAAATTAGCTATAATTTTGCGCTGAAGTTGCTAGAGGGCCAGACCAATATAAATAGGGAAGCAGGCTGTTTAACACGACAGTAGAAGTGATTTTTTCTGAAGATATGGGTAAACAACGCGATTTAACAGCCTTTGAACGTGGGATGATTGTTGGCACTCGGAGCCATGTAGCGAGTATCAGCAAAACAGCAGAATTTGTTAAATGTTCAAGAGCAGCTGTTGTTAAAGTGTTTAAAGACTGGATCGTCAGCTGAAAATCTGGGTCTGAACGTGCGAATTGTGGCCGTCAGCGACTAGTCAATGTTAGGGCAGAACGGAGAGTGGCAAGACTGGTACAAGACAACAGAAGGGCAACAGTGCAGTGTCAGATTCCTCGCATCACCTTTCAACATCTCGTGGAGTCACGAGGCGGCCCAACAAAGTAATCTCGTGGAGTCATCTCGTGGCCCAACAAAGTACTGATGGGGTGGTCATAATAATCTGGCCACTCGGTGTATATTTTCTTTATTTGTAACTCTAAACCAAAACAAGCCATTACCTTTGCAGTGCGGGGGTAGCCCCACTTCAAGGGTTAACTTTTGAAAATCCTGGAGTTCATTTTTTAAAAGATATGAAATTAATTGAAACAGCTTGACGGTCACCAATGACAGCCTCCATATTTCTGTCTCCTTTAACCTTTTTTCCTGCTAGACAAACCCCATAATAGTCAAAATGTAAAATGAAGTCATAAAAAACTGTACAGGTATTTAGTGATAATCACACCTATATTGAATAATCCCTAATAATAATTGATTAAGACAGGTAGTCATTTCAGCTTATTTTTACAGTTTATTGCGATCCTGCCAAAGGAACAATAGTGTAGTGATCTATTGCTTCTAGGGAAGGCAGCACAGAGCTGGACTGTATTGGCTATATTCCAAGAAGAAGAGACTGTGGGGTTACACTGTACTGCAGTGCACTCGTAAGGTACACCTGTCTTGAGAGAATTATGTAGGCTGCCACTGCTGAACTCTCCTTTTGAGAATGCTAACTGCCTGGCTATCATGCAAATTGTATCATAAGTATTTCTATATTGACAGGTGCATGTAAATCCTTTTCCTGACTGTAATCCGCTGTCACGTCTGTCTTCTTTTCCTTATACAGGTAACAGAAGTGGATGATGAGCTGCTGAAATTTCACAATCTTGAAGAACTTGTCTTAAGTGCTAATAAATTAACAACAGTCTCTTCCTGCAATCTTCCACGGACACTGAAGGTAAAAATGTACAACAAAACTTTTTTGCAGATTTTGCTGTCAGTAAAACTAATTTCAGTGAAATCAAGCTTCACCCTTGTTTCTTATGATATGTTTCAGGTGTTGGAGTTGTGTTCAAATCACATTTCAAGCTTACAAGATCTTACTTTAAATTCTCCTCCGGTGTTGCAGCATCTGGGCCTTGCCCATAACAAGATTCAGCTTTCTTCAGAAAGTACATACCTGACAGCAGACTTCTGGTAAGAATATAAGTTTCAGAAAACAAGGCCAGCTTCTAAAACATAAGGGCTCATTCACACCAGCAGCATTAGGCTGTGTTGAGCAGCGTTGCCCAGTGCAGTCCCAATGCAAGAATAAGGGCAAGAACAATTTGCCTTAGGTCCAATGGCTTCTGTTATACTGAATAAAAGTAGGACATGGTGCATTTTTGTGCAGCATATTCCGATGTGCTGCATACAAATTAATAAAACAATAATAACCATGCATTGCAACGCCCATTTACAACACACATTTGTGCATGCATGTTATGCACACAATACTTTGCATTGTGTGGTGTGCATTAGTCCTTGGTGTATATTTGTCAGTATGTGCCTTTTGGATTTGTCTAATTTGTAGAATTATCTGAGAAGGAGGTCTAAAAAAAAAATCATATCACACAAGAGTGAGGGAGTATATATAAAAGGGTATAATCATTCACATGCTTTAGGCAGCATGAATTTAAAATATGGTAATGGCACCCCATGGACATGACAGTGTGCAACATAGTGTATGCGATGCTTATGATACCATGCAGAGCTCAATGTAATTGAATAATTTCTCTATTCATACACAGCTGTCATCTAGAGCAGCGGCACACTAGTGTGCCGTGAGATATTGTCTGGTGTGCCGTCGATTAATCGTTAATTTCTTTGATCGATCAAAAAGTAATGTTGGCTCATGAACCAACATTACTTACTTCCATGTAAAAATACAATAGATTTGTTCTCTTGATATTTAATGGATACATCTCCGGTAACCTAAATTGAGTTAGTGGGATCTGTAAGCACGACTGCTTTTCAAAATATATAAATAAAATCTTGTCTCAATCCCATTAAATAAAAACTAGTAGTCAGAGGTGCTACAAAGATTCCTTTTTAAGCACTTGCTGACTGGGGTGTTAAACCCCCTTTCTGTCCAGGCCATTTTTCAGTATTCAGCGCTGCGGTACCCTGGCACTTATTCAATCATGCAATGCTGTACCGAAATGAGTTTTATTTTTTGGGGACAGATAGAGCTTTCTTTTGGTGGTATTTAATCACCACTGGGATTTAAATTTTTTACTATATAATGAAAAAAGTACCGAAACTTTTGAAAAAAAAAATATTTCCCATGTAGTTTAAAAATGGACTTGAAGTTAAAGGAGAGCTATGGGGTCAGGGCTTTTCCCCATAGTTTTCCTAAGGGTAACGGGAGGATATAAACTAGCGTCCTCCCATCACCCAAAGCTCAGTATACCGCAAGCTACGGCTCGCGGTATACTGAGACGCCGCAGCCGGGACAGATCCAGAATTTACTGTCAAGATCTACCCAGCTGCGGGATTGATAGCTGGTTCTGCCTATCTATAGGCAGAGCCAGCTGTACCCGCCCCCTCCCCCATATGTTCCGCCACTCAGCGCTGGAGGATCGGACAGGGGAGGGGCGGAATCCCTGCAGGGAGCCGTGAGTGACAGACTCTGCAGGGATAGATCGACAAGTGAGCGAGCGACGATATGTGTTCCCTCACTTCCCGATCTATTGAGCCGACAAGTGACGGTTTTACTCGCCTCATAGTTCTCCTTTAAATACAAACAAGCACAACTCAAGCTAGCACTTTTTAAGCAGGTACACAAAAGTTGTTTTCTTTTGCAAAAAAGGTTTAAATCATTTTAAAACCCACAATTAAATGAGTTTTTGTCCCAACCCTGTAACTATCAAGTTTGGTGGATAGCTTTGCCTGCTGCAAGAAATTAAAAAATAATGGATCTACTAACAGTGAATAAAGCTTACAGGGGGACTCAGAAAGACCAATAACTCCTGTGTTAATGTTAGTAACAAACCGCACTATATTAGTGTTTTTTATAGAGTGTTTATAGACTGTGTTCTCAAGCCTTCTAGATTGGTCCTCAAGATAGAATTAATTTATTAGCCAACATTAGTAGATGTCGTAGTGCCTACTGCTATTAAGATGCTATGGACTATGTACTTATCTTACTGTATAACTGCACCCATTCTATGTTAAAAATAAAAAAACATTTTTGATTGCATATTTCTATTTTATGAACTAAAAGCCATATCTGTCTTTCAGGCCAACTTTAGTTTCCCTGGACCTCAGTTTCAATGACCTCACAGACCTTTTTGACCTAATCTCCAGACTTTGTACCTTGCATAAACTGCGTATCCTGGTATTGCAGGGTAATCCTCTGACCTTTATTCCTGCCTATCGAGGCTACACTATAGACAGTTTAAAAAAGCTCTGTGTACTGGATGATATTTCAATACTGCCAGATGAAAAACACAAGTATGCTGGACTGTTTGAGCAAAAAGGTGAGACTGGGTTAAACTGATACACTAAGACCACCATTGCATACAAGGTGGCCATAATGTGATGCAGCATCCTTTTATTGCAGCTTCCAGTGCCACTGGAGTCTCTGAAGTTCCTGTGCAAATACCAACTTCCTGAAAGAGTGTACATTATTAATATTATTATTATCTTTTCAATCAGTTACATTGTGGGGGCTTCAGATGCAGTCCTCAACACCTCTGAAGCCCACACATAGTACAATAGAGCATAGCAAGAAAGCAAACAGCAACTATAATGTTTCACCTTTACTGCTAGCATACAGAAACTTACACCGTGAAATACCAGCAGTACCATACTGAAGCCACTAGACTTCTGTAAACCAGCAGGGAAAAGCAGCAACATGTCAACTATACCAGCATTTATGACCAGCATTTTGTACAGAGTAGTAGTAATGTGGTCCAATGTGTGAGAAAATATTCTACTTTCATGCGGGCTGTCAAAGTAGCTCTGCATGTCTGCAGGCATCACAAGCTGAGCACCAATGATTGATTTATAGGCAGTGGTGTCACAAGGGGGGTGCGGCCCGCACCTGGGTGACACCATTGGAGGGGTGACACCAAAATGACTGATAGTCATTTTGGTGATCACCCCCCTCTGAAAAGTTGGGCGCTCGGTCATGGACTGAACGCCCGAGAGTATCGGGAGAGAGGTGGGGACACCGGCGGCATACCTTATCCCTCCGGGTGACTGTCCCTTCTTCTCTCTGGCGGCGTGCATCACCAAGATGGCCGCCGGCAGGTATCAGAAGATCGCCGCGCTTGCGCGATGACGTCTCATATTCCATCATTCTTTAAAGTAATATGAACTTGCATTACATTAGAACAATGACAATATGGAAATAACACACTAAACACTAGTCTTAAAAACAGGCTTCCATACCTCCCAACATTCTGAGATGGGAATGGACTACAATCTCACATTTGGTTAGCTAATTCGTATTGAGATTGTAGTCCATCACAGGAGCGAGATTGGATCGGCGACTACTTTAGAACACACACAAGGACCATGGGGAACAAAGTAGCCACCCTCCAGAAGGAAGGACAGTCTCAGCACCAATTCAGAGATGATTTGAGGATCTACAGCTAAGCGATACACAAATAAGGTACAGTATTGTTAATAGTTAAGTTCCTTGAATGCATTTTTAAGATTTAAATCCTGCATTTAGTGTCAATTTATGGGTATTTATGAAAACTGCTTCACTAACTAGAAAAAAGATATTGGTATTAGTAATGCTTATTTAACACTCACTTCCGGCATGTTCATGGTCCGTGAGTCAAATAGTAATGTCAGATAAAGCCAGGAAACTAGAATTTTTAGAAGGATTACAGCAATGACAGCCTCCGTACTTTATTTATAATAGTTTTACTTTTATCTGGCATTTGTTGCTGACTGAGGCAGTGACAGCTAAGTAACCAGTAAATGTCCTGGTAAATATAATTAAATCATCCTGAAAGGACACGACTACCGTATTGATTGATAAGCGAATTCATTTATATGGTGCTTCTTTAGCAAGGTATGGGTAGATGCAAGACATTTTTTTAATGCATAATTTTGATAGCTTTTTAAATCTGGTTTAATTAGAGAATAAATAACAGTCAAAAAAAACAGGGCAAAGACTAATAGTAATGTATGTATGCTGTAAGATCATTTTAAGACGACATCTGATTGATTGTCATGTGTTACCTCACTTGGCAGATCATGATTCCATTACCTAATATGCATGTCCTTATATTTTTAAGGATAAAGAAGATGGTGTGATTTTATCCTCCTATTTCTGATACATTTGATTTATCCTCCTATTTCTGATAAATCAAAATGTTCAATCCATAATTCAATTTTGGAACAAAATATTTAAACACTTGACAGCTGTCTTAAACATTTGGTTACCTAAAGACCCATGCTTTGCCCTTTTACACCTCAAACAGCCCTCCTGTTGCTTTAACAACTCATATTTTTATGGCGGATAAACAGACAATATCACACGCTTGGAAGAAACAGTTTGTTTCTTTTGGAGAGACACAACGGAGAATAAATGCCATATTAATGAATGAAAAACTGGCAAGTATTCTCACCAACCCACATAAGAAGTTTCTCAAGTTTTGGGATCTTTGACTCCAGTATGTGCACCCTGATCTCTCGAGGACATACTTAACTTTCTAACATTCAGTTACACTACTGGGCGGCTACTCAAGAGAGGCTTTGACGCTTCTTCATCCTTTCTCATTTCATCTTTTCCTCCATCTAATTTCAGTCCTTCCTCCTTTCTAGTATACAATTTAGAAGAGCACTAGGGATCCAGCAAAGGGTAAACGCCCCTCATGAAGAAAACATTTGGTTTTAACCTCATGTGTTCTGGGACCAGTTGTTTTTATCAAAATTGACCTGCCCATTGTGTTTATATTTTACGTTTCCCTATACTGTGTTTCTGTAATGCCTCCTGTCCCCAATGGACTTTATTAGCTCTTCACTTGACAGGATTTTTGAATTCTGATTGTTGCTGATGTGTACTGATATACTTTTCTGTTTTATATTTTTGGAAATGTAATACAAAAATAAATATTGAAAATGTAAATATTGAATAATATAATTATTAGTATAAGAATAGTAATTAATAGTCTTGGACATGTAATGATGCCTTGTATCCATTATACAGCAACACATCTATTGCTGGACAATGCCTATAACATATTAATGCTCTTCTTGCAGAGTCTCTGACTAATAAAGCAACATTGTTTGTGCACATTGGAAAAGTTCACGGAATTCCAAATCCAAGCAATGTCACAGAACCACAAAATGCAGGCGAATATCCCGTTACTACAATTAATTACCGTGTTCGCTATGAGTTTATTGAGGACCAGGACAGAGGAGAGCTGCCTATTTGTCAAGTAGGTTGAATAAATAGTTTTCTAGACTTTCAATATCATTTTTCTATGGGGGTGTTGTCTCTAATTATAAGTTGTCAGTCACTTAGTTGATATAGTGGCATCTCTAATTGCAGATACCCTACATAAGAATGTTCAATGTTGAATACACATCTTCCTGTCCCCAACAGAATACTCTTTACTTACTCCATAGAGCCACAGTCTATAAAAGGCTATGGCCTCCTTTTTTTTACATAATCATTGTTTATTGAAAGACAGAACAAAGTAGTGCTTTATAGTGTACAGATACTTCAAATCGCCATCCAAGCATATTATAAGACATGTGGGTGGACACAAGGTCTGCAGCTAACGATTATTTTCATAATCGATTAGTTGCCCGGTTATTTTTTCAACTAATCGATTGGTTGTATTAAAAAAATTATCTCTCTCTCTCTCCTCTCTCTCACTAATCGATGATGAGTTGCCAACTATTGCCAACTATTCTCTGCCCATTGTGCTTATATCTTACATAGATATAGTCGCAGAGGAGAGACAGAAAAAAAGTATAGGAAGGAAAAGAGAGTATGAGAAAAATGGGAGAGGATAAGGGAAAAAAGAATAGAACGAAAGGAGGGAGCATCCCTCTGCAAACACTTCCTATTGCCGTTCGCTGCACTTTTTTCTCCTGCGCGGCTACGCAGGCCCAAAGAACACAGTGGTCTAGCCCTTCCCGATATCTATTTGTACTACCTAGCTGCACATTTGTCTCACATTGTAGATTGGTGCAGGCATAGTACTTTGAAATTATAGGTTACTTTAGAGCAGGCTTTCTCTCTAATTCCTAAATTCTCTAACTCCGGACTCTACCTTGGTGTTCTGGTCCCCTTCCCCGACATATTAGGCTGCACCCTACTTTGGCCCAACATGGCAGGTTGCCCATTTAGCTCTTCATGCCAGATGATTCTCTCCCTCCCCTACCCCCTGTGACGGACTGAACCGTCACTGGGGCTGCTGGAGGAGCCTGAGGGCTAGCCTCCTTCCTACTGACTATGCACCTAGAACTATGGAGACCCCCATCAGACCTCTTGGGGTTACATGGAACTATTATCCTAGGTTTATGTGTGGAGTGAAAATACTGCATGTTTCCCCTGACATTACATTTAAGTGACCCTGTGTTCATTATAGGCAGCAGGCTGTCTGGAGTGACCATTGTTTGGGATGATCAAGCTCTTATCTAATTAAGGACATCCATTAGGTTCAAAGAGTGTCTGTGCTTAAAGGAATTCCAATGCGGCACCCGGCTGCCTAGGGGTGGGAACTGTTCAACACACTGAACTCTTTCGGGTTTCTCATTCCTTAGTGGATCTACGTGGCCATCGTTAGTGGAAATGTCACAAGATCAGGCTCTCTTCCCTTGGATTTTTGGAAACTATGTCAATTATATCATTTTTTTCTCTTCCCTACCTCCTTCGTCTTCTTTTGCCTGCCCACTGTTTTAGAAACAGGAATGCTCACCGCCTGGTTCGGTGCACCATGTCCTCTCACTTTGCTATAAACTACTTCTTATGCCAGACCTGGAATTACCCCTGAAGTTATGCCGTGCTATGTGACTGAGAACATGCAACAAATATAAAATAAGTATTATCCCTATTTGTCTGCAACAGTAAAATTCTACTTGACCTCTAAGCTACGTATAGAGTCATAAAGGGATTCTGAAAATGGTTTGACACATCAGGTTTGCAGATTTCAATTATACACGTGAACAGAGTAGTTTGCCCATCCCTACTTCCAACCTGGAGGACCAGGATACATCTTCTTGTCTTGGTCATTGCTTGAGACTTTCTCAACACAGGTGACTTCTAAATCTGAGTATGCATGAAGATCATTTTGTATGATTTTTTTTTTTTTTTTCAGAACATTCGTTCGGTTTTCTAATATTGAATAAGTTCAAGTCAATGATCACTTTTGATTATAGTGACAGAAAAAATTAAGTAGCAGGATGGAAACTTTTTTTTACAAATAAACAAAATTCTAACAGTGAATTAACTTTTCGTTCATGAAACTCCATTTATTCTAAAATCAATTATTAAAATCGAGCAAAATGTCTAACAACATTCATTTTTCTGATTTCTGATTTTCGAAAGACGACATTATTTGCAAAAACGTTTGCACAAAAATCTACCAGTGTATACCCAGCTTAAGCTACTGCAAGTAAATCTCTTAGGGTCATTTGTCCTTGTAAGTTCACCTAGACATCAAAGTAGCCATACTACTGAAACCTAGGAGGTATGACTCCAAATTTTGATTCCATATTATTTTGTGGCCATGGGCAAAATGTAGGCATGGAACGTAGTAAAGTCAAAATGAGATAATTTCTAAAACTTTAACAGTGGACACTGTTGAAGTCTTAGAAATTTTCTTAAGAGAAAAATGGGTTCTGAGGTTGTTTTCTTTTGCTTGCTACCGTGGGTTTGTGATCCTGGTGTAGGTTATGGAAATTGCATTTCTCTAACTGTAAAGTCTACATGGAGGATGTGATCATCCATTCAGCTTCTTTATTATGATCCCTGGTTCACATGGTTCACATCTGCGTGTTCCAAGGCCACACATCCAGGGAACATGGACCCGTGTGCACCACGTTTGCTGCACAGCCGCATTGATTTCAATGGGGTCATATCCGCACAGCAAAAAGGCTCCTGCAACGTGCCCCCTTTTTGTGGAATGCACAGGCCGAGTTCTTTCTGACGCAACTGTGCGTGGTTGCATACGCGGAAAACCGCGTGATTTGCTGGCCGCGTTTGGGGTGCCATTGGAGATTAATGGCACCACAAGCACGTTTCGTGTTTTGTGCTGGAATATAATGACTTGTAACTATTGTCTGTATGTGTAATAATAACCTAGCAGCCACTGGGGTTGGGGGAGGGGGGAGCTTCAGTCATATAAGCAATCAATACTTGTGAATTCACCCACATACAACACAAAGAACTGCTGGCAATCCATCAAAAAACTGTCGTCTTCATTTTGTCTAAAGAGACGTTTTCCTTTCATACAAGTTCTCCCAGACCTCTGTTGCTATGGTTCATTAATCTCCCTATTGTGACCAGCATGGTAGAAGAAATATCAGCCTTGGAGTACAGATTTGGAGGTTAGAGCAGAGGAGATATGTGTTGAAACTAGATAAATGCTAAAAAAAAAGTAATACAGTGAATGGGAAATATTAATTGGATTCTGTGTTTATTTTGTTACTGCACGGAGAAGCCAGTGCATTGTAGAGCTTACCATGAAGTTTATCTCATTGTGATCCTCATACAAGTGCTGTAATTGTTCCCCTTTTAACCTGAATATTTAGCATTGATGTGCAGACCATCTGATTTTATTAGATTTGGAAATTGCAAGTTTGTCCAGCGTAACGCTAGAGAATACAACTGTAACAGTTGTGCCATGTTGAATATATTTCTTGATTAACCATACCGTTCCTTGTTTGATGGAAAAAAGGTTTGTGGCTGTTAGTAATCATTCCCTTTTCTCAATAGAAAGTGTGCTGCCCCTCCCCATCACTCCTCCTTTTCCTTTCCAGGCTCTCTTGCCTCTCCTCTGTTTCTGACAGTATGGGGTTGGCAATCAACACTCCTTAGGGCTAGTTCACACCAAGTGCGGAGCAGATGCAGAGCAGTTACACAATGCCTCAGAAATGCATTCAATGTATACCAATGGTATTTTGGGCTCTAGTTCACACCACAGTGTTCAGTTCCAGAGCATGTGGAAAAACTGCTGCGTGCCCTATTTTTTCTGCTCTGGAACGCACCAAAACGCATGCAAATGCATCAAAAACGCATGCAAACGCTCTGGAACGCACTGAAAGCCCATTTTAGGCTATACAATTTTTTATTTGATTTTTAAACGGCCCGGGACGCATCAAAAACCCGTCAAAACACACTGCACTGCATGTGCAGAAACCCATGCAGATCTGGTCTGCATTTGGTGTGAACAAGCCCTTACTGGTCCCCTAATTTGCAGTGGATCAACAGTTTATTACACAGTATTAGCGGAATATATTTGTGTTCTTTGTATTATTCTGAAATACAGTATGTTGATTGTGACTACCTTCTGTATTGTCACTGTTCTATCCTCATATGTATCAATAGAATTTTATTCTTAAAAAAGGTGAGCTGCATAATATTAGCAGTCGGGTTGAGCCCACAGCAGGTCTGAGAGTTGGATGAACATGGAAAGATCTCTTAAGCAACTATTATTTTTAAGTAACTGATGTGTTCATATATTGTATTGCCATTAAAGTGACACTAAACTCAGGAGTTAAATCTTAAAAATGCATCCAAGTATCCTAAATATTAACAAAAATATATATTATTTGTGTATCACTCAGCTTTATAGTCTCAAATCATCTCTGAATTGGTGCTGACACTGCCCTTCCGTCTGGAGGGTGACTACTTTTGTTCCGCATGGGCCCTGTGTGTGGTGTAAAGTAGTCACCGCTCCAAGCTCGCTCCCATGATGGACTAGAATCTCAATACAAATAAGTAAACCAAACGTGAGATTGTAGTCCATCACGGGAGTGAGCTTGGAGCGGTGACTACTTCACAACACACACAGGGAACATGGGAAACAAAAGTAGCCACCCTATGGCTTGACTGCAGGCATTGCTAGATGAGGCCATATATAGTACAAGTAAATAAAGTTCAGGTCTTAACAAATAGTATCACTACACATACAATGCATTGTCTTCTAGTAATCTCCAAGTTTTGAGTAGAGTGGGAAAGAAATTGTCTTTTTTCTATAGCTGTTTCCACTGGGTTAATTTCTCCTCATTTCATCTTACTTATGACAAGGAGGTCAACATGGCAAGTGAAGAGAAATCTCTACCTTGTAGCATAGGGAAGAGTTAGAAGTTAGAACCTCTATGAAGTTTTTATAGCTGTCTTTGTCCCCAGTGAATAGATTCCCCCTCACTTCCTAGTTACAGGTGTTAGCCTGGGGAAATATCGATAGAGAAACAGACATCATTATAATCCATACGGAGGTTCTAACCCTTACCCAAACTCACCTATGAGGGCTTGGAGCTAACCTTATCTTTACTTTGACCTGATGATTTTTATTAATCTGCCCTGGTTTATAACAGTGTTTTTAGTAGGATTACACTGGTCAACAAAAAAACAAAAAACATTTCTGGCCTGGACTTTTGCAGCTGTTTTAGACTAATTTCAGGGTGCTGATTCGAAATCCGATCTCAGATTTGCTCTATCACATCTCATTTTTATGCTACCGGCATACCCCATTGATTTTACCCGAAATTAACTCTTTGTCACTTATGATTGCAAGTTGTTGCGAGTCAGTGACTGCTTTAGTGTTAAAATATGATGCTGCATTTTTAGGATAGTGTGTTTATAATATAATTTTTTGTAGATATCCACATTTATTTAATATTTTCCTTCTGTGGGGCGTGAACAATGGCTACAACATCCGAAAGAAGGAAATGCAGTAATGACCCAGATATCTTCTGCTACATCTGTGGCAGCTTCACTTTGCAGGATCAAAGGCGCAACATCAATACCTTTGTCAAGAAGGTTTATCTTGCCTACTTTAAAGTACGACTTGGAGACCAAGACAAAAATTGGGGTCCTCACAAAGTGTGTAAAACCTGTGTTGAAACTTTGCGATCATGGTCTAAAGGAAAGAATGCTAAGCTGAAGTTTGGTGTGCCAATGGTTTGGAGAGAACCTACAAACCATTTGGATAACTGCTACTTCTGCCTTGTCAATGTAAAAGGTTTCAATAAGAAAAATAAACAACACTTACAAAGCCCAGATATCCCATCTGCCAGACGACCAGTTGAGCACTTTGAGGAAATACCTGGGCCTGTATTTACTGAGCTACCACAGATTGATGTTGAATCCCTCAGTTTACCTGCTTCTACAGATGATGATGATGATGCTCAGATCGAATATACACCATCTGATGCAGATTCTCTGTTTAGTCAGACTGAATTGAATGATCTTGTAAGAGATTTGTATTTGCCAAAGCAGTCTGCTGAATTGTTTGCTTCCAGGCTGCAAGAGAAAGGACTACTCAGACCTGGCATTAGTGTCTCCTTTTATCGTAACAGAGAAGCAGCACTGCGAAAGTACTTCCATTCAGATGGTCAACTTGTTTATTGTAATGATGTTGAAGAGCTTTTTCTCAATATGTGACTGCCCGCATATGATTTAAGTGAATGGAGACTTTTTATTGACAGTAGTAAAAGGAGTTTGAAATGTGTGTTACTTCACAACAGAAATATATATGGTTCAATCCCAATAGGACACTCTTTAAAAATGAAAGAAGAGTATCTTATCTTATTCTTGTATAGCTATTCGTATATGAGCATCAATTTGCTGTTTTTATTGAAAATGCAATATTTGATATCTCAAAAACCTGATGTGATAGACAAAAACTGGTGCCAGATTTGGAATCAGCACCCCAAAATTACCTTAAAACTGTTGGAATACCTTATGCCAGAAAAAGTGTGTTGACCAGTGTTATATTTTTGTCATTTCAGCATGAAAGGTACAAAAATAGACAGCTGACAACCCCAGAGGAAAATGTACCACCACTGAACGCATTGACTTCTCACTTTCACACTGGTAATAGAATTGTATTCTAGAGCATAAAAAAGGAAGTAAGGATGGATTGCAGCATGTCAAATTTAAAATGTTTAGTTTTAACTCGCTAAAGTGGAAAATATGTGATGTATAGCAACCATGACATGGAAAGATTTTAAAGACCACAAACTTTAAAATATTTGTTGCTCAATGTACTTACAAAAATGTTACAAATCTGTCTGTAATGTTAATTGAACTAGAGAAGAGCTAGGGATAAACTACAGTCCACTGGCAGTTTGCCTGATCATTATATACAATGCCTTGCAAAAGTGTTCACCCACTTGGTGTGTTTTCATTTCATTTTTGTTTTATTTCATTATAACCTAGAATAAAATGGATATTTGAGAGTTTGTACCAGGTGATATATACAACATGTCTACCACAATAATTGTTATTGTGATACAAACAATAATTAAGACAAAAACCCAAAACCTGCAAAAATGTTAAGAGCACCCCTGACAACGCTAGAAGGCACCCTGGCTGAAAATATAAAACCTGTGTTGAAACTTTGCGATCATGGTCTAAAGGAAAGAATGCTAAGCTGAAGTTTGGTGTGCCAATGGTTTGGAGAGAACCTACAAACCATTTGGATAACTGCTACTTCTGCCTTGTCAATGTAAAAGGTTTCAATAAGAAAAATAAACAACACTTACAATGCCCAGATATCCCATCTGCCAGACGACCAGTTGAGCACTGTGAGGAAATACCTGGGCCTGTATTTACTGAGCTACCAGAGATTGATGTTGAATCCCTCAGTTTACCTGCTTCTACAGATGATGATGATGATGCTCAGATCGAATATACGCCATCTGATGCAGATTGTGATAACATTTCTCTGTTTAGTCAGCCTGAATTGAATGATCTTGTAAGAGATTTGTATTTGCCAAAGCAGTCTGCTGAATTGTTGGCTTCCAGGCTGCAAGAGAAAGGACTACTCAGACCTGGCACTAGTGTCTCCTTTTATCGTAACAGAGAAGCAGCACTGCGAAAGTACTTCCATTCAGATGGTCAACTTGTTTATTGTAATGATGTTGAAGAGCTTTTTCTCAATATGTGACTGCCCGCATATGATTTAAGTGAATGGAGACTTTTTATTGACAGTAGTAAAAGGAGTTTGAAATGTGTGTTACTTCACAACAGAAATATATATGGTTCAATCCCAATAGGACACTCTTTAAAAATGAAAGAAGAGTATCTTATCTTATTCTTGTATAGCTATTCGTATATGAGCATCAATTTGCTGTTTTTATTGAAAATGCAATATTTGATATCTCAAAAACCTGATGTGATAGACAAAAACTGGTGCCAGATTTGGAATCAGCACCCCAAAATTACCTTAAAACTGTTGGAATACCTTATGCCAGAAAAAGTGTGTTGACCAGTGTTATATTTTTGTCATTTCAGCATGAAAGGTACAAAAATAGACAGCTGACAACCCCAGAGGAAAATGTACCACCACTGAACGCATTGACTTCTCACTTTCACACTGGTAATAGAATTGTATTCTAGAGCATAAAAAAGGAAGTAAGGATGGATTGCAGCATGTCAAATTTAAAATGTTTAGTTTTAACTCGCTAAAGTGGAAAATATGTGATGTATAGCAACCATGACATGGAAAGATTTTAAAGACCACAAACTTTAAAATATTTGTTGCTCAATGTACTTACAAAAATGTTACAAATCTGTCTGTAATGTTAATTGAACTAGAGAAGAGCTAGGGATAAACTACAGTCCACTGGCAGTTTGCCTGATCATTATATACAATGCCTTGCAAAAGTGTTCACCCACTTGGTGTGTTTTCATTTCATTTTTGTTTTATTTCATTATAACCTAGAATAAAATGGATATTTGAGAGTTTGTACCAGGTGATATATACAACATGTCTACCACAATAATTGTTATTGTGATACAAACAATAATTAAGACAAAAACCCAAAACCTGCAAAAATGTTAAGAGCACCCCTGACAACGCTAGAAGGCACCCTGGCTGAAAATGGCTGAATTAGGGTATTCTATCACACATAGGGACATTTTCATCTGTGTTAACATTCATGTTTTAGGGTCTTTGCTAACAGGACTTTGAAGCATGTGTGTATTGTAGCACTACTCAGTGGCGTCACAAGGCTGGGTGACACCCGGAGCGGTGTCCGAGTGTCACCCCGCCGAGACGTCACCGCGCATGCACGATGACGTCATTGCACACGCGCGGCAGTATTCTGATACCTCCCGGCGACCATCTTGGTGATGGGCGCCGGCAGAGAGAGGAGGAGACAATCACCCGGCGGTATAAGGTATGCCGCCGGGTCCCCTCCTCTCTCCTGATACTGTCGGGCGTTCGGTCCATGACCGAGCGCCTGACTTTTCAAGAGGGAAGAGGAGGGTGACACAAAAATGACTGTAAGTAATTTTGGTGTCACCCGGGTGCGGGCCGCACCCCCCTTGTGACGCCACTGGCACTACTCACTTCTGTTTGTTTCTTTACCTTCTATAATAAGATATGGGAAAGAGAAGAACCTGTACATAATTATATGCTACTATTATTATTATTATTATTATTATTATACAGGATTTATATAGCGCCAATAGTTTGCACAGCGCTTTACAATATAAGGAAAACATGACAATTACAATACAATTCAAGACAAGATGGTAAGGAGGCCCCAGCAATGAAATGAAATATAATGGGAGTAATTTATCAGAACTGGAGCAGACAGAATCTTGAACAGTTGCCCTTGGTAACCAATCAGCTTATCGCTTCAGTTTGTTCAGCTAAGATTTGAAAATGAAAGAGAGAGACGATGATTGGCTGGCATGGGCAACTGCTCCAGATTTTGTCTCCTCCAGTTTTGATAAATCCCACACATCTGCATAGTATATACAGATGTGTGAAAAATGTTATTGAATATGAAGTGTAGAGTCACATTCTACAGGGAAAGCTTGGAATCCCTGGGGATTCCATCAGTCGCACCAGTAGGAATATAAGGTGATATTTCAGCCATGTGAGTATGAGATTGATAAGCCTTTGTAACTGTTTCTGTGCTGGCTTATGCTCTTTATACTTTTTTCTGACTACATTTAAAAAAAGTGAGCTTTGAATGCTTAAAAGTGAAAGGTGGATGTTAAAGCATATCTAAACCCAAAACCAAAAATGGTATATATATATATATTGCAGGTTAGCAGTGCTTAGATGAGGTGATGGCATTCATTTTCTTTTTTAAGCAATTAACATACTTTGGGTACCCAGGTGGCTGCGCTTACTCCTCTATCATATGTATTATTATTATTATTACATAGTATTTATATAGCGCCAACAGTTTGCACAGCTCTTTACAATATAAGGAAGACATTACAGTTACAATACAATTCAAGACAAGATGGTAAGGAGGGCCCTGCCCCTGAGGGCTTACAATCTAAAAGAGGAGGGGGAAATGATACATGAGGTAGCTGTGGGAATGAATTATGTGAGAATGTGAAGGTTCAGTGGTTAGGTTGAGGTGGGATAGGCTTCCCTGAAGAGATGAGTCTTTAGGGAACGCCTAAAGGCAGTCAAGGTGGGAGATAGACGGACAGGTTGGGGTAAGGAGTTCCAGAGGATGGGAGAGACTCTAGAGAAGTCCTGGAGGCGAGTATGGGAGGAGTGGACAAGGGAGCTGGAAAGCAGGAGGTCAATGGATGAGCGGAGGGGACGTTTAGGGTGATACTTTGAGACAAGGTCTGAGATATATCCGGGGGCAGAGTTGTGGATGGCTTTATAGGTGACTGTTAATATTTTGAATTTTATCCTCTGGGCGAGTGGAAGCCAGTGGAGGGATTGGCAGAGGGGGGATGCAGACACTGAGCGGTTGGTAAGGTGAATGAGTCTGGCAGCTGCATTCATGATAGACTGAAGGGGGGATATCCTGTGTAGTGGAAGGCCAATGAGGAGGGAGTTACAATAGTCAAGACGAGAGATAACAAGGGAGTGTATGAGTAGTTTTGCGGTGTCATTGGTGAGGAAGGGGCGTATTTTTGAGATGTTACGAAGGTGAAGGCGGCAGGATTTGGATAGTGATTGGATGTGGGGAAGAAAGGTGAGGTCCGAGTCAAGGATGACACCTAGGACCTTGGCATGAGGGGGAGGGCTGGATAGTTGTGTTAGCAATCACAACTGAAAAGTTGGGGGAAGGTGCACGGGCAGGAGGAAATACCAAGAGCTCAGTTTTTGAAAGGTTGAGTTTTAAGAAATGTTGCGACATCCAGACTGATATGTAATTTAGTAGATTAGTGACAGGCAAGGACACTGAGGGGGAGAGTTGTGGAGTGGAAAGATAAATTTGAGTGTCATCCGCATAGAGATGGTATTGGAAGCCATGTGAGGTTATTAGTTGACCAAGGGAGGAGGTGTAGATGGAGAAGAGGAGGGGTCCAAGGACTGAGCCTTGGGGGACCCCTACAGAAAGAGGAAGAGGAGGGGAGGAGTTAGAATTGTAGGTGACACTGAAGGAGCGCGTAGATAAGTAGGATGAGAACCATGAGAGAGCAGAGTCTTGTAGGCCAAGCGAGTGGAGTTTTTTGAGGATATGTATGAAGGCAGCCATGGTTGTCACACAAACTGGACCTCAAGCATGTCTTACTTTGTTCATAGTAGTCTACATAAGAAAGCTGTAATTGTTTTTGCTGTCTCTTCAGCTCACAGGAAGTGACAAGGACACAGCATTTCTGGCAGCTATTTTCCTGCACTTGCTAAAAAGTTCTTAGCCTGAAAAAAAGGAAATGGATGCAGCCATCACATCTAAGGACTAGTAAGCTGCAATATATTATATTTTGGTTCTTGAATTTAGTTATCAGCTAAACTCCAGCTTGGTTTACTAACCCACTCCCCAAGGTCTCCGACATATATAACAATTTCTATTACAGAATCCTCTTAGCTTCTGATCTAGAGGTAATAGAAACTTTTTCTATGGTTCACTGAAATTGTTCAAAAGGAGAGCCCAAGTGGAGTTCTGTGCAGGGAGAATGTTGTCATCAATCCACCAGCTTTGTATTTTAAAATAGAAGTCTATGCTCTATGATCCTTCAGTGTATAGAGGCCATGCCTAACGAGCTTTGCATTAGGGTTTCCAATGAAACAACTTGCATACTTTTAAAGCTAATTAGATAGCATGGAGTTTGACACAACGCTGCACAGAAACATCAGGGGAGTAAAATAAGTATGTAGAATCCTTTATTTATGTCCCGGTTATGCTTAGTGCAGGGGAAATACAGGTGGAAAACACATAAAAAATCCAGTAACTATAATATTGAGCATGTCCATGTAAAAAAAAATACATTTATAGACATAAAGCAGTTGGTATCTTACGATGAAATCCATATATCAGAGCTGGTTTATCTGCTAAAAATATTGGTCATTGTGTCTATCCAGTCCTGCGATTTATACAGCTTGGCCATACAGTAGAGTCCTGCCTGGCAGGGTAGGGGACCTGATCTTTCTCTGGAGCAGCTTCACTTACAGGTCTCCTCCACACCCCCACCCCATGAGTGGACAGTGAAAGGAGAAGCTGAACAATGATGAGCTCATCTCTCTGGCACTCTGATCTCTCTATCAGCATGCTCCTTGCACTGCAACACACCTAATCGGCTCCTTATGCTGCTTCTCTCTTACCCTTTCCAAGCTCTGATGTACAGGGACTACAAGAGGCTAATAACAAGTAAATTCAGGTGCATACATGGTTTATATTTTTTAAAATGCATTAAAGGATGTATTAATGGTTATAAAGCAGCATTAATGTGTGTTTTTATATCTGTATGAAGATCAGCTTTAATCTCATTAAGAGCAAAAAAATGTATAACATATATTAAAGTTATTCTGTCCCCACATATATGCACCTGTACATGTTCTAGAGGCATCTCTGCTGTTTTTTTTAATAGCTACACCTTTTATTTTATAAAATGATGAATCTTTAATCCTTCATAATTCTATACATCAACAGGGTTATATGAATCTGGTGGATTACCTTGGAGTGAAACCATAGAGTATAATTATGAAAAGGAACATACAATTACAGATTTACTGCCCTTAAAATTGTTTCTTCTCTCTGATATGACAGTTACTGTTACAGAGGAGAAGGTAATTATATTTTATATGTCCTCTTAGAAACAATAATATGAAACGGTGCCGCTGAAAATGTCTCCCACACTTTGACAGCAAAGTGGTCTATAGCAGTGGTCGCCAACCTTTCGGGCCTCACGGACCACTAAATTCATCATTTTAAATCCCGCACACCATTAATATGAATTCTTAAGAAATATAAATATAATCTCATATTTTTTACTCATATATAAATATATTCTCATATGACACACACACACACACACACACA